ACATGTTCATACATCAGTTTATCTCATAAGCTACAACAGCCTTGTTTGTCTTGGTTCCTTAAAAACTGACTGTAAATGAAAGGTGAAGTAAAAGACAGACAATAAAATGTTAATAATCAACTTAATTTATCCTTTTTTTCCGAGGTTATCATAGAATAGTCTGATAAAAACTTCAAACACACACTCACCCAGAAAGCATCTTTGAACCCCTGAAGTGCCATCTCGTCTTGATCCTTCCCTCTAAACTTTTCCAAAGTGACTTTGTCCAAATTTGAATAATTTCAGTACAGAATGTTGGAGGTCAGTTGAAAGTGAACCAGTACAGAGCCATGTTTGAGGCAGTCACAGGCCCAAGTGTCACTTAGTCATTTAGAAAGAGGAAGAGTTTCTGTCCGATGACATCACTGGCCACAAGAGCTCAGCCTCTTCAAGGAACAGTCTCTCTGTCACCAGCATTTGTTTTTGTCTGATAGTTTTTTTTGTACCTGCTTACGGGCCTTGTATATCCGGTGTGTGTTGTGCAAATGAATGTGGTCTGAGGGATGGAGTAGCTGCTATTATGAGCACTCTTTTAAAACACCTTCACATATCAGTCACAGTGGTTATGACTCACTGATTGTACTTGGTTTCTGTCTGTTAAAGAAAAACCACATAAGTCACAGATGAGCCCATGAAGCACCAGACAAAGATGTTTAAATGTTCAAACACACTATGCCCCCCATGCACACCCCCCCCCCAGAGATTCAATCATCCCTTAATTTTACATTTTAGAAATATCATCTTTCTCTGTAAAACTTTTTTTTTTCATTTGCAGTTTATGTTTAGGATAGAAATTGCTACATTTTTACTCCAGTATTGCTAAGTTCATGTCTTCTTGTTAATGTTAATGCTTTCCAAACCTCTCCCCCCTCCTCTATTCTAGACTTGGCACACTCTCAGAGAAAATGACCTTAAAAGGACTTGAAAAGGGCTGGAATAGTTTGGCAGTTCCTGCTTCAAAACCACCGCTGACCACGTGCTGCCAACAGGAGAGGTGAGAACAAAACACCATAAAACATTTGGATTTAAAATTCAGTCAGCCAGACTACGTCAGAACCTCACACATTTTCAACCCCGCTCAATTTATCCTGTAAGACCAAATTTGACTGGTCTTTATTTACACAAATGTATTAGTTTCAATGTCAATAAACATGTTGCCATTATAGAAAAATGTTGGTTTTAAGCCGTGAAAAATGAAATTCCTTTAAAGTTTGACGTTTATGAAGTTGCTGCTAAATTTATTAAATTTATATTTGCTAAAAAAATATCTTCATCACCACCACCTCTGCCCATTTTTATTTGGCCAAAATTGTACATCATTTGTTGTTTTATTATATTTCCTAGGATGGCCACAGGAGGGCGACAAAGACCTTTGCAAAACTCCCTCAAACTCACCCAGAAGAGCTGGCGTTTCACGGGATCAAACTCTTCCATCACCAAAGGAGAACGTCATCGTCCACACAGGTGAGTCAGACTTTAAATCCATAATCGGTGTTTACTGCTGAGGTGAATCCAAATCTGTGGCTCTCAGAAAAGACACAGAGACACGTGAAGGGGCACAGAAAAGCTTCGTATTGATTTTCAAAGTGAGGAGATGGACCTGCTGTGGTGTCTCTCACTAGTTGCTCAGTGAAACGTGTGAAAATCTTTCAAAGCTCTCTCACAAGAAGAGATCGTTGTGTCACACACCTAACGACACGCTGAGGGTAAAGTGCAAATCAATACAGTCAACTGAGAATATAAGCGTTGGTTCTATGGTCTGGAGTTTATCTGTTCTACTTGGGCTAAAGTTATAGATTTGTGTATTTTGGATTGTATTGTATCTGATTGCAGCTCAAACTTTGTTCTGTCACCAGTAGGTGTCAGCAGTACAATTGACACAATGTTGATTGCCAACATTTGACAAAAGCTTGAGATGCGGGTGTTAGCACAGTTAGCTTGGCTTGATCGAGCAATAAAGGGACATTAAGTCTAATAACATATCTATAAAAAACATTTGTTTCAGACATGAAATGAAAGAAAACAGTTTAATTTGAAAGCAAACATTTCTGGAAGATTTTGTTTTTATGTCTTGAAGTTTGACTTATTGATATAATTGAAGGTTTATTTTACCACAACACCATAATCAGCTGCTGGATTAGGACCTGTGTGTTGGGATTGATATGAATTATTACATTGATACCAGTACATTCCACTTATAGACTCATTTTACCTGCATCTATAGCACCACCCTCAGGAAAGTCTGCGTTTGTACAGTAAGCCAGAAGTGCTGCATACATTCTTTTAAATTACATTTGAATTTTTCATTCAACCCTAGTTTTTTTTTTGTTTTTTTGTTTGTTTTTGTTTTTACTGGACATCCCTTTGGAGTGGTCATCTTTGGGCTGAAGACGGTGAAACACTCACACAGTTTTCCCACTTGGAAAAACAAAACATAGACTAATCCTCCCAGGCCGGTGCACGCAGGTTTTTCACAGATGAGATGACTGAGTGTGTGGTGCCTGGCTCTGACTGTGACCCCGTTTGTGGCCTCTAATGGAGGGACAAGCTCTGGGAACCAGCTGTGCTGCCTGTCTCTGAGCACAGGGTGACACCGCAGGGTTGTAGCAGCAGCAGCAGCAGCTCCTCACCGTACCCTGCGTTTGCGTCCTCTCTCCCTCCCTCACGTTGGCCCAGAGTGGCAGTTATTGAACTGTGACAAACGAGCCGTGTCAGACCAGCCCCCCTACCTGGGGGATTGGCTAAATGACCTTTCCATTACCAAACCACTGCTGTATTCCCCCTCCACAGATAGAGTTACACACAGCCACACAACCCATTTGCCAGGGCCAGTGTCACTGTCGCTGCCATTAGCCGCTGCATCCTTCTCTGCTTTCTAAAACAATATTCCATCATTTCATTTTATTATGATTTTTATTTTTTTAGGTTTTATTCCAGTGTATTTATTTCATTTTATTTGATCTCATTTCATAAAAGAGGATCACTTTAGCCGAGGGGTCAGGCTGGTGTTTT